GGCAGCACTTATTTTTGAGGAATCAGCCACAGCCTAGGCTAAGCACAGGTGAATTTATTAACTCAAGTTTGCATTTCGGGCTCCCGTTTCCCTTCCCTAGATGGATAACTTAGTGTTGTAGATAAGAACCAAGATGTTTATCATTTCTCTGTGTATTTTCTTACCTGTTGGCTTTCCTTCCAGGTCACTTTTATCAGAATGGAAAGGATGGTTAGCAGGACCCAGGGACCCTAACATAATTGTCTCTTGTGAAAAGAGATGAGAGGGGCTGAAGGAAGAGGCTTCAGAGCCATTCCCAACCCTGCACACACACTCCCTGTATTTCTCTGATGTGATGGCAAGGAGCTCAAAATCCAAGTGTCAGAGCTTCACAGCAGAGCTGAATTGAAGAGCAGTCTCTATTTAAGACTCATCCCCACACCCTAGGGGCTATCCTCATCCTAGCTCCCTCCCCTTTGCTCCCCACACAGCTTTCTGTTTCTTGCTGTGCTCTGATCCCTGCCCATCCCAGTAATGAGCCACCCCATTCTGACTTCAGGACACAGCTTCCTTGCCTGCACCCCGGGAAAAGCCCAGACCCTGGGCTTGCTGAGCCTACTCACGCCAGCCTGGCCCCACAGTTTTCTCCCTCGATGTCACCTCCAGCCACGTTCTCAGTGTTGACAGACTCCGTCTCACTTGTGGGCATGCTCACTGCAAGAGTCAAAGGGATGCAGAACAAGGCATGAGGGTGGGAGGAAAAGGGAGAGAAGAACATTAGTTTGCGACACGCCCAGTCCCAGGACAAGTGCTGTTTGGGACGAAGGGGACCGAGCAACACCTACTGGTGGGGAATAACAGTGCTGCTGGAGCAGGCTGAGGCCTTGGTACTGCCCTGGCCAGGCTCATGGATTTCTTTGAGTGACATGCCTCCTGCTTGTCTAGGGTAAGTTTTGCTGCCAAGGGCACTCTAAACTAGTGGGAATGTGGGAGGAAATTTGGTGATAAGATCATTTACCTTATAGGAGTCATTCTGAAAACCTGACCGTTGAATCTTTTCTCTACCCTCAACTCTACACTCTCAGAGAAGCTGTGCAAACTTTTCCATTTGCATCCACTACTCGCCATCAAAGGGGAGATTTCATAAAAATATTTTATTTCCCTTATTTTTTTCCACCCACCAATTCTAGGGGTCTCTACCCCCAAACTTAGGGTCCAGCTCATTTATAGAAAGGGGATTTTCTGCCACCTTCATGAGCTACTAGATAGATTTAGAGGACAGTTCTTTCCTGTAGTGTGCAGTATTGAGTCTGTTATATCTAGGACTGTACCTGAAATAGAGCTTGAAGCAAATGACCATGAACGGAATCATGCACTAAGATTTAAACTAGCATTGTAGACATCAGGAAGGAGGAATCCACTTAATTAAGTTTACATATGGCTTAAAGACAGACTGTGGGGACACTAGCTCCCTTTCTAGCAACCTTGATATTCCTACCACAACAGGTTGACTTGGGATATAAACCATCTAGTTCCACTAGCACCAACCTGTCTATCCATCTCCAGTCTTCCCCTGAGGTGACAGAGGCTGAATTTGCAGACCAACTGGGATTTTCCCCTTGGAACTCATTTAGTGGCTTAGAAGCCATTTCTCTTATTATTAATTTTTATTCCAAAAAAAAGTTTAATTCAAGAAAATTCTTTTCCACAAAATTCTTTTTCCACCTTTTATTACCCTTTTCAAATGATACAAACATGAGTTCCTTATTTGTGCCAACCCTGTTCTTTAGAGTGGCCATCACAGCATAGGTCCTGGTTCAGCCTTCCTTGCAGAACAGAACTCCTTGTGTGGAGAGAAAATCACTGGCCCTCAGCAGCCAGGGAATCTACAGTTAGTGAGGGTGTGGCATCAGGGGATGTGGCATCATGTGAAAAGTCTCCATGGGGCCACCACAGCCAGGAAAAGACTTCTACTGGTTATATGCATGATATTTGTTGGATGTGGATTTTTCCAAGTTTTTTTTTTCTTGTGGATGAACACAAGATAGGTGGGTAAGAAGAGACTCATTTCAAGAACACTGAAGATACAAAGAGAACTCATGACTTATCAAGTGTTTGACTGTCATGGATGAGAGACTCCACCCTAGGATGCGTTTTCAACAAAGCTGGGTAATAAGAAATCCAGATGCCATTAAAGTTTGGAGCTGGATGGGACTTTAGACATTTTCCAGCTCTAACTTGTCCCCTTCACTTCAAAGGACAAGAAAGTGACAGATGCCCAAGGTCACACAATGTTTGGGGTGGGACTTGGACTGGAGCACAAGTGTCATGACCCCCTACATCATGCTCATTTTGATTGCATCTGTGTTGACCAACTCCCTTCCCTATTCTCTAAGACAAGATGAGATTCTTAAAACCAAAACAGGCTGTGGGAACATCACTGGAACGTGGTGAATAGACAAATGGTGTTATTGAATTTGACAGCATTTATACTCTCTTTGCAGCCTGAGATCTGAGGGAGCTGGTGAGGAAGACCAGACCTTAGGGATGGTTTTAGCACTGGGAGCAGGAAGACAGACTTTCAGAGCTTTCCAGAGTTCCTTGCTCTATCTGCCCTGAGGAAGAAGTAATATAATTGAAGAGCCTTCAGTCTTTCAGTCATTTCCAGTCATTTCTCACCTAAGGTTCTTTTAACTCTTCAGGCATCGTTATTTCAAGAGCTGAGCTTTGTATTTGATTTTGTGACATTTTGCTCCAGAGAGCTCCTTAGGTGTGGAATAGTGTGATGGTGGTGGTGCTAGGCTTGAAAAGGCAACCAAATTAGGAGTAGGCAGGCCTGGACTTTAGAAGGAATCATACCCCCTTCTAAAACAAGGCACTGTTTGTACCAGTATCAAGTTGGCATTTACAGTGACCTTAATCTTGCCTGGCACTATCCAAAGGCAAGATTCCATCAAGGAATAGCTGCTGATTTTCATGTCTACTGACTTTATATATATGAAGACATAATAAGGCAGTGGCTGTGAGTGAGACAGATTACCATCCCCTCACAAAGACACACACATACACACAAACACATACACACACATACATGACCACTGCATCACAAGCCATCAAGAAAAATACCCTCCCATCCAGTCCGGTATGTACCAACACACATTTATACACACAGAGCACAGGAGAACGTTACCATGGGTTTCTGTGGAGTGACTAAACCAAGCAAACTTCCCTTTCTTCTGATCAAGCAAGCCCGTTGGAGCGCCTCCTTTCACAGACAAGATGGTCATTTTCAAGAACCAGGAACAAGACATCAATAGAGAGCATGCAGTCAGCCACGGGCAAAAGAAAGAAACAAGGAACTCAGCTTTCACATAGAACATCCGTTTTCATCTCCAAAAATAAACTAAAAAAATTACAAAAAACAATGAACCAAAACATATAAGAAAACATCATAAAATAAAATCAAAACCCCAAATCACATAAATTAATGACACAAAACAAATGATGAACACTGGGGAGAAGGAATTACTCCAGAAGAGGTTTCGGTCTACATTGGTCTATCTAGTTAGTGGTTTTGAGGAGAGAGCTTCCTGGAAGTGTCGTGGTTGTGGATATGAAATACTTCAGCTAATTCTTGAGAAAGAGAGTATTCCAACTCCATTTGATAGAACTGGCATTAACCATGCCTCTGTCAGGTCCCTATGGAGGATGCTAAGGATGAGTGGTGAGTAAGGCATCATCACGGCTGATGAGAGAGGTGGGAAATCTGCTTCCACTCATGAATGTAAGTGTGTGCCCTGATGAGAAAAGCTAGGTGGCCCCATCAGTCCCGGGACAGGGCATGAGGGGAAAGTCCATCCAAGCTTTAGGTGCTTCTTATCTCATCTTCTTCCCCTGAAACTCAGATTACGTTCAGTGAACATCCTTGAATGATGCTTGTTAGTGAGAATTCTGAAGACTGGCTCATGGCAGAAAAGGTCAGGCTTATTTTTAACCTATATAAAGGGTCATTTCTCAAACACACATCTTTAAAAGACAAAGTTTGGAATAAGCAGAAACTTCACAACCAGTAGCATTTTTTTTCCCTCAAAAATCTTATTTGAAAAAATCACTGAGAGTTAGGAGCTGAAATGAGGGACTTCGTTTAAATTTGCCTCCTAGTAAAAAGATATGTTTCAGTTTAGAATGATAACAGTCACTCAAGTGAGTATCTCATAATGAGTGGTCTTTTATTCGAAGGAGTAAACACGTGGCTGCCAGACACCAAGTTTCTGTTCGCGCAGTTGTGTGGGGAGATGGGAACCTTGGCCAGTGATAGAAAGCCCAGAACATTGTGATCTGTTATACAGAAGCATTATCCAACTTTTGGCTTTAGCATCAATATTGTCCCATCTTGTTGGATTTCAGAAATAACTGTATAACTTAAAAAAAAAAATAGAAAGAGTTTGATAAAATCATGGCCATTCAATGTATATCTGAATTTGACCATGGCTGGTCTTTCATGCAGGGAAAGTTGGCAGCTGCCTGTGTGCAAAGTGATTTGAAGAGCATATAAATCACCTCTCTTGATGGCAGGCAGTAGTCTCCGCTAGATCTGCTCTTTCAGATGAAGTTATATATCTGAAGGTTTCTTGTTGAAATGAAATTAAAATATCTCATCTGGAAGGAGCAGTACATTAACATATTAGTGCCTGTTAATTTGTGATAGTTTATTCCATAAGCACATGTGGTGAAGATGCAGTTGTGCCCCTATTACTAAGAGATTAGACAGCACGATCAAAGCTGATTCTTTAAGGGACTTGCTGCCCTGGAGAGATGGACTTGGATTCCTTCTTGGAAACTGAGTGTCCAAACAGTTGAAAGTTGAGAATTATAAATGCTAAATACTAATTCTGGGGATTAGATGGACAGCCTGACTCCTCCTTTGAACACTCAGATGATGCACTGGTTGGAAACCAAGGCAGAAAAATGGCAAAGAACCCAGGTGCCTGAGGGCACTTCTCCTCTAAAGGCCACTCACTCAGTGCCCTGAGAAGTGAAGCTTGATGCCTGCTCACCTGTGGACAATGTCATGACAATACGCCCTCTGTGGAATGAAATGTGCTTCATTGAATGGATTTAGGAAGAAGAATGCTGAGGAAGAATGCTAGAGAGAAGTTAGTTTTCTAACTTTCTAAGTTCACTGGTACTTGGTACTATGAATCAAATCTGGGTCTCTGGGCTCTCCTCTCCCTTGGCTTCTGCTGAGAAGATTCCAAAAGAAAATGAGATTTTCATTAAAAAATAATTAACAGCTGCCATTGCAGGTGGTGGATAAAACAATTACATACTTAGTAATTTCACCAACAGCTACAATGAGTTGTGTAGACTCCATCTTTCTGACAACTGATTACATCTTGATTAATGTTGTCTTTTCCCCAAACATCTACTCTTGGTAGCAACTCTTGAGTGAATGGTACTTACTAGAACAATTTCTGTGTCTCAAGAGAGGTACACAGTTCTTGACTTACAGTAATCAATGCATCCCCTGACTTTCTGGGAGAATAGTTGTGTGGATCCTGGGAGAATTATCATAAGTCACTTCTGACACAAAATAATTTCCTGAAACTCGAAATCATATGAATTGTGCTGGGAGAGGAGCACTAGATCTAAGCCATTGTGAAGATCAGTGTTCCCTGACATGTCTGGGTTTGCAAACCCTCTGAGGGTTTATT